AACGTCCTTCTTGACACCACCTCCTGTCTCAGTCCCTGAGGCAACGCCCTGAGTAGAAGACCAGCGCCACGTTGCTCCACCCGGGAAAACGGGTACTTCCCCAGCCACCCGGGTTCCTCCGGCGCCACATTCAGCCGATCCACCGGCCGCATGTCCAGCCATTTCTGATAGGCCCTCTCCGCATTGCTCATGATGTGTTCCCACCAGACCGCTGCGCTAGTGCTGAGGTCCATCATGATCGGCTTGATTTCCGCCAACCAGTCTCCCGCTGCCAGCGGCCCTGCTTCCTTTGCCCCCAATTCCGGCAGCTTTGGCAACTCCGCAGCCCTGATCGCCTCTTCCCGAAACTGTCCCGCTGCTAGCATTGCCTTCACATCCTCTGGCCAGACATCCGAGATCCCCTTGATGTCCCCAGTCTTCTCGCTCACCACCACTTCCGGATCCAAGTCTGCCTTGGCCTCCAATCCTGGAGGCGGTGCCGGAGCTTCATCCACCATTGCATCTGCCCGTTCCCACGTCAGCGCCCACTCATTTCTGGTCATCTGCGCCGGTACCATCTTCAGGCCCCCCGACTCATAGTCCTTGGTCCAGGTGTAGAGCTCTCCTTCTCTCGGCTCCTCCCTTCTAGAGTGACCTCCTCCTCCTTCTAGACGAAGACCACCCTTTCCTCTCTCAGAGCGGGGTGGCGTTCCCCTCGGGACTTCCGTCCCTCCTGGGGTCCTTCGATGTTGCGGCGTCCTTGGCCTCGGAGGATACGGGGGTGGCTGTGGGGATCTTGTTCGATCTCGCCGTTCCCCGTTTCCATGTCCTCTCCCCGGCTCTGCAGGTGTCTGGAAGATCTCCTCCTCTTCCTCCTCAACTCTCCTCCACCGGGTTCCATCCCACTCCCAGCGATCCCACCATGACCTCCAGTCCGCCAACTGGTCCTGGGCTTCCCTCAGTTGACCCTGAGTTTCCCGGACCTGCTCCAACAGCCGATTGATCGTGCTGTTCCTCCTCTCCAGCAATCCGCCCTGCTCCGCCATCTTCCCCTTGAGATGGTCCCGTTCTTGCTCCATGCCTCGAATCATCCGACACGCCAGCATGAGTTGCTTCTCCATGGCCGCTTGAATGTCGATCATGCCGTCGTCATAGTCCGGCACGAGTTCCTCATCATCATATCGCAGGCCAGCTGGTAGGTTTCCTTCTGGAATCCACGTCTTCGTTGCCGGATTCCAAACCATGTGAAGCTCCATTGGCCTGAACCCCGCTCTCGTTGCCGCTCTTGCCTCATCCCTCGTCACCTCCAATTCCCTCGGCTGCGGTCTTCTCCCGTCCTTTGCCCCATGTCCTTTACCTTCTCGGGGTTCCGGACCTTTGCCTCCAGCAGGAACTGAATCGCCAGGAAGATCACGACGAGGTTCCGGACCTTTGCCTCCGGCAGGAACTGAATCACCAGGAAGATCACGACCTGCTTCAGTTCGACCTTCTTCCTTCCTTTCTCGAGAATGCTCCGTGCTTCCCCTAGTAGCATAACCCCTTCCATAGATAGGATGTCTTCCGCGATGCCCAACACCTTTGCCTTCACGACCGTCCTGACCACTTTCCCGGTCTCCCGGATGTGGCCCCACGCTCGCCGGTCTACCTCCATGAGCACCCGCAAGACCCCCTTCAGCACGTTCTGTGGGCCTCCCTTCATATTCTCCCCGAGGATTGCCTTCATATTCTCCCCAATGATGACCTTCCCCTTGAACACGGTGTTCAGCTTGCCCCCGTCCCGGATACTCCCGAGGATGTTCTCCACCATGTTCTCGACCCCACCCACGATGCCCTCCTGGATGATCCCCATGTCGAGCTTCAGGAGGCCACCCTCCAGGATGTCCACGATGGCCATCGCTACCGCTTCCTCCTCCCCTTTCCGCTTCGCCCTTTGGCCAGTTCTCCCTTTCCAGGTCCTCCTGCAAGCTCCGCTTCACATCGCTCCAGAACTCTGACCTGCTGCTGCTCCTTGTGTCCGCTTTATACCACCCTTCTTGATCGCGATCGTGTCCATGTGGTTCTCCCCGGTGTGCTTCTGCCATCTCCCCCTCCGGAACCCTCGGCAGGTCCTTGGGCCGAAGCGCCTGCAGCTCCGCCTCCGCCCTTGCCTTCTCGCTCCAAAACGGGTTCACCGGCACCGCACCCCCATGACCACCACTCTCCGCCTCACCCTCCATCACCTCCTCCTCGGGGATGACCTCTCCGTTGGGCTCGGCGACCATGATGCCCTCGTCCCCCGCATCCAACGACCTGGCCCTCCTTCTCCTCATGCCAGGGTCCATTGCGGGGCCTACCCGAGCAGCGTTGGGCTCATAACCTACAAGTGCTAAACCGCACGGTTCCTTTTTCTTGAGCCATGAAAGTCGGGGATTCACAAAATCAATGGCTGGGCCCACCCTGGGGACCATCTGCATTCTCACACATTTGAAGGGAAGCCAACACACACACCAAGTAGTTGTAGGTGTCCCATGTAGGACACTCCCAGTTTTGGACTCTACTGGTTGCTGCTTCCCGCAGGACCAGCTTCAGCGCCAAGACGGTGCAAGATTCAGAGCACCCGGTGTGGAACGAGACGGGCCAGATTCAGCTGGCAGCTTTCCTCGCATGCATTGGGCGGAGCGGGGTGGAATCGTTGCGTGCTGCCCTGAATTGTGAACCGGTTCGGTTCAGGTGACAGAGGAGACGTGTTCGCGATTCACTTGTAAAACCCGGAATATTTCACCGACAATCGCAGAAGGGACAACGGCCAGAGATCAATTTCGGCAACAGATGGTCAGATTGTGCAGTATGATGCTGGAGGCATATTGGTGGCAGGACGGTTTAAGGAGGTCAGCTGACTAGTTTAGAGCTTGTCACCTCAACAACTATTGACGAGGAAGGCGTTCTGATGCAAGGTCCCCTGTTGCAAAGGTCTAAGTGGGGAGGTTCCGCTGCGTACCAATTAGGTCTTAACGCCCCAGTCAAAGGAAGCCCTGGGGATTCGGGATGCCAAAGCTTCAAGGAGTCGGGCGACCAGCGCCTGGAGTTTCAAGTCTGGGACAAGGATCAGACCAAAGACGAGCTGCTGGGGAAAGCTGCCCTGAACTGCAGGAGGCAGAGAGCCTCAGGGAGGGAAAGCTATGGTCCAGTCAAGCGATAATGTTGTGTGTTTGAGATGGGTTTTCTTATGCTTACTGAGGGGTTGCAGTGTTTCTTTAGTCGGAAAACTGGCCGTGTTGAGAAATCCTTCCCTCTATGGAAGGGGGACATGTTCACGGCTTCTTGGTCATACCACTTGCAACAAGACAGGGTAATCTGCAAAACCTCGTGGATCGTGTCTTTCCGCCGCCTCAAGGTTGAGACTGGGTAAGCCCCTTGAGACCAACGTGAAGCTCACGGGTGTGCATGCCGCAGGCGAGCTTGCCCTGCAAAAGTAGCTTTGCACGAAAGGAGACGGGGCATGCGGGTCGCGTTTGTCCGCTGCTTCGCAAGCTAGGCGCTCATCCAAGCCACCCGAGCGGCAGGGTTTACCTTTTGAGCCCTTGTTCGGGGGGAGGGGGGGAAAAAACCAACAGAAGTGTAAGCTCTTTGTTCCTTGATTTCCATGAAAGCGGGTCAACAAGAATAGTGCTTGCAGGCTCTGTGCGGGTGCGCGTGCGGGTCTTGAAGAAGCATGACACAATCTTCAGCCAGTGCTGCTGTGGCAGGCGGGCGGAGCATGCGGCGCCATGGGCAGATTGTGCGATGTTCGCAGTTTGCAGCAGTGACGGCTCAGCATGCACATGCGGAGGCGAGTTGAGGGGCATGAAGTTGAGGCCGATCTTGTCTCTTGTGGGAATCCTTACCATTGTTGCGTTTTCTTGTATATGATATGCAGTGGCCTCACAACATTTCAAGCAACTCTGAAACTGCAAGAGCATTTCGCCCGTGAAGCCGGAATCTCTGGGGCACAGGTGACAGCAGCTTTGTGCCACTTGCGGGAGCTGCACTGAGCGCTTGAGTGCCCGAGGACCTGAGTGCCAGGCAGCCCTCAGCCTCCGGCGTGGGCAAAGGTCCGCAGCCTGTTTGAGGCTTGAAAGAGATGGAGCAAAGTTGCATTCTTTCAGAGGGCCCTGCGTAGGATGCCCCTTGTTGAAATGGTTTTTCTATTTCCGCTTGTGCAATTTGTGCCATTGGACGGCGCTGAGAATCGCTTTCAGACTATGTGTCGCGTCCGTGCGACCGGCCGAAGGGGCGCCTTGGACGCTAGGCTGAAGCCTTCCAGCTCTTCGCGGCGGGTAAGCGTGCCATGACCCACACGTGCCAACACGCAGCACTTCGGTTCGCACAAGAAGTCCCTGTGAGGGTAAGGAGTGGCGGAAGAGAATGCCACGGAAAAGCCACAGAGTGCTTGCATGATATTTGGTTTGGCATGTTTTGCTTGTTTTGATGCTGTTTTCTTTCATTTTGTTGGTTTCTTTCTTTTTTTGGTGCAGTATTGAGTTCACATTTGCGTGTTCATTTGTGTGTGTGTGCTTGCGGCCTGCGTGAGTGCGTGCGTGCCTGCATGCCTGCCTGCCTGCCTGCCTGCCTGCCTGCCTGCCTGCCTGCCTGCCTGCCTGCTTGCCTGCCTGCTGCCTGCTGCCTGCTGCCTGCTGCCTGCTGCCTGCGAGAATCTCAGGCAGCGAACGCGTTTTCACCAACCTCGCGTGGTGCTGGCATCTCTTGCTTGCGCTGCTTGTAGGCTCGAGCCAATACTTCGGCACATGCAAAGCATGGCACTTGCGTAAGAGTGTCCATTTTTGGAGGGCAGCTTTATCGTGGTGTTGGGAGGCACTTAACTTATGCGAGAAGATGGTTCCTCATCAACTTGATTTGCAGGCTTTAACAAAGTGTCCGAGGCAGCATTTGTTTTTAAGTCAGCAGAGCAACTGTCTTTGATACACTTTCGCTGGATCAATTTCATTTCGCCTGGGCCAATTTAAAACACAATTTATCATCGGGGCCATTCTGGCAACTTTGATTCAAAGCTTCGGATTCAATGCAGCCGCAGCTTTTGTCGCTGCCTGGCCATAACCTCGGCTTGGTTTGCTCGCCAGTCGTCTCCGCTCGCTGCACTCGCAGCGCTCGCAGCGCTGGCGCCCGCCCAGACGTCGGCGGCTCCGGCAGCTTCGTCGCAGCGTGGCCGTGGGTGACTGCATGCGTGGCCGCGGCGCAATGCTGCTCGCGGCTGACGCGGCAGGCCCAGGCGGATTCGGCACTGCGCAAGGCACGTGTGCAATCGCGGGGGAGGAAGGGCCTGGGTGTGGTGGCAACAGAGCCCTTAGAGCGAGGGGAGCTGATTTTGGAGGAGGCGCCTTTGCTGACCTTCCAGGACCAATCCTTTGACGTCCTTTTTGGCGATTTGCAGGAGATCCTGGCCGATGACAGGGCCTTCGAACACTGGGATGAAAGCCTCAAGCAAAGCGTGCAGTCAAATTTCAGTGAGGAGTCCGCTTCCAAATTCTGGGATTTGGCTGATACATGTGGCGAAGAAAAGACGGCTCTTGGAATTGCCCGGACCAATGCCCTAGGACTCACGGACGAGTCCGCTGGACTCTTCCTGAACTTATCAAGGTTCAACCATAGTTGTAGACCAAATGTGCACCACAGCTGGCAAGAAGATAGAGGAATTCAAGTTCTGAAAGCAGTCCGTGACATCCCTCAAGGCGAAGAGCTTTGCATCTCCTACCTCTCGTTCCTCACCTTGTGCGCGCCAAGACGCGAGCGCCTGGGTGAGCTCAGCGACCGCTTTGGCTTCGACTGCGAATGCGAGGCGTGCGCGCGCTCCTCTGCCAACAGCGACTGGCAACGCGAGAGGCTGTCGCAGCTTTGTGCTGCCTTCGCTGAAGAGAAGGCCGAGGACGAGGTCAAGGAGGGAATTGAGGGCGAGGGCGAGGAGGGAAGCAGCGAGGGCGAGGAGGGAAGCGAGCGCAAGGGCGAGCGCGACGCCATTTGGCTAAACTTGCGGAGGCGCATGCCGCTGTTCTTCGAAGTGCAGGCGGAGGAGCTCACGCGCCTCAGCCAGGAGTTGGAGAGGCGCCGGGCAGCCATTGGATGGGGCTGGGATCTTGTGCTGAATACATTGGTTGAGTTTCCCAAAGCGGAGGTATCCTAGCGCGACGTCTCAATCACCAAGGTGCGAAGCATCTCAACCATCGCACATTATAGAGAGCCGATCGGCCTTACCCTCTCTTTGGTTCGTCCTTTATTTTTTTCTTGGTTGAGCCATTTTTGGGACAATTGCTGCTTGCCCGCCAAGCAGCAAACCGTGGCCAACTTTTTGCAGGAGCAGTTGGACTAGCCCAGTTCAGAGACATCACAGCAACCTTCCGCCTTGGGACCCAAAGCCTTTGGCCTTTGCGTGTTTTTCTGTGACTCTGCTTGCAAGGGTCGTTGTTTTTTCTTTATGAAACAAGACCGAGGATACCACAAGCACAGGCAACACCGTCGGAGCCTCCCCTAGCTCCTCATTTGACTGGACCCTTCACGTCGCCTTTTGGATGATGACTTGTTGTTTTGGGTCAAACCGGCCCGGGAGGCCGGCGTCGGCCGCCGAGACCGTGGTGGAGCGGCTGGAGCTGAAGGAGGCGCTGCGGGAGACGGTGGCGCTGGTGGACGCGGAGCTGAACGGCAGCCCCGCCGCCAAGGCGCTCGTCTTCTTCGGGGCCTTCCGCCACGCCTGCCAGGTGACGGGAAGATGCCAAGAGGGATGAGGGCCAGGTAAGGGAGGGAGTATGTCGGGAAAGAGTAAGTGAGAAGAGGAGAAGACGGAGAAGATGGAGAAGATGAGAAGGGGCCAAACATTTTCCAAACAAAAGAAAAGAAGGCCCCTCTCCTGCTCTCTCGGCGCTCGAGGCGGGGCGCGGAGGCGCGGCCAAGTCCTTGGTGCGGGCGGCCTGGCGCCAGGCGGTGCTGGCGGAGGGCGGCGACGCCTGGCGCGCCCGGCGGTTGGCGATCCTCGGCGAGCGGGCGAACGCCCAGCGGGCCCTGTCAAAATGTGCCGTGGGTTCCACCCCTTTCAACGGTATATGATATATATGTCTGCCCCATTGAAAAACGAGTAAAGTGCCTTGGGTTTGGCATCTCGTGAACCCTTGCCGCCATAGGATCTAGAGGGTCTAGCGTGAGGGTCTAGTATGTTTGGTGATGACTTGTTGCAGGAGACTTGCAGTCATTTTGGTCGGAATTGGGCACAAAAGGGGCACCCTCCGCACAACTCTGCTTGCTTGCCATGAAGAAGGCACCCTGTAAAACCCTTTTCTCTTTACTGCTTTTTGAAGGGAACCGACTCACTGGAATCCAGGAGATGCTAAGATGGGGGCCAGGAAATTTGACGGAAAAGGTGTATGAAAAGACTACGCCACCAAGTTAATTACTTAGGACGAACATGCCTGCTTTTGCATTTGTTCCGCGCTTTGTTTCTTTTGGTTTGTTCGGGGGTCGGGGGTGGGGGGGTGGGTGGGTGGGTGGATGGGGTGGGGGTGAAGGGATTTGAACTCCCGCACGCGCCGGCAGACGTGCAGACATTTATCGAACACTCAGCATAGACCATTGGAGAAGCCAAACGTAGACTTGCACCTTTTTTTTGCCAGGGATCAACTTTTGCTTGTTCTGCAGAAGCAAGCCCATAAACAGAGACAGGCAGACAAAC